CGCATTCTCGGGTTCAATTTCATCCTGTATTTTCTCTAATATTTAGAAGCGTTTTTTCAGATGGTCGAGGTGGTCCTCTTTTCTTGTCGACTTTACCAGCATGTCGTCGATATAGACTTCCATAGTCTTACCGAGCTGCTCTTTGAACATTCTGGTGACCAGTCTCTGGTACGTAGCCCCTGCATTTTTTAGCCCGAAGGGCATTACCTTGTAGCAGTAAGTCCCTTGGTGGGTGATGAAAGTTGTCTTCTCTTGGTCCTCCTCGGCCATCATGATTTGATTGTAGCCGGAGTAGGCGTCTAGGAAGCTCAGTAGTTCATGTCCTGCAGTGGCGTCGATCAGTTGGTCGATGTGGGGTAGTGGGTATGAATCCTTTGGGCATGCCTTGTTCAGATCAGTGAAATCCACACACATTCTCCACTTCCCGTTTTTCTTTTTGACCATGACAACATTGGCGACCCACTCGGGGTACTTTGATTCTCTGATGGAGCCGTTGGCCAGTAGCTCGTCTACTTCCTTACTGACCGCTTCATTGATAGCGGCGTTGAATTTTCTCCTCATCTGTCGCACGGGCGGATGTAGTGGATCGACATTCAGCTTGTGGGTGGCGATGTCTCGCGGGATTCCCGGCATATCTGAATGGGAAAAGGCGAACAAATCGGCATGGTTAGTTAAGAATTCACAATACTTACTTGGGTTGGCGAGACCTTGCCTGATATAGGCTTTCTTCGTAAGATCGGTTTCGTCCAATTGGACTGGGTCGATATCTTCGACCGTTGCTTTACAGGCTTCCACGACGTCGGGGTCTTTGATGGCGTCCGTTGTCGGGTTGACCTTAGTCCCCGACACGGCTAATTGCTATGCCTCCGCGCTCGCCCCCTTTAGCTGTTGGGTGTGGGCGCAGTCTTGGGCTATTTTGTAGCATTCTTGTGCGGTGCGTGGCTCGCCTCGAATACTGAATACTCCCCATGGGGTAGGGAATTTGATCACTTGGTAGAGGCTTGAAGGGACCGCTCGCATGGCGTGTATCCACGGGCGTCCTATGATGACGTTGTACGCAGTTTCTTGGTTCATCACGTGGAAAGTTGTTTCCAGCGTGACTCCTCCTGCTAAGACGAGTAGTGCTATTTCTCCGGACGTCCGTTCCACTGCATTGTTAAAACCGGTTAGTGTTATACAGCGCGGTATTACCCTATCCTCGAGTCCCATTTGTACGAGGACCCTTGGGTGGATAATACAGGCGCCACTTCCGTCATCGATCATGACTCTTTTAACATCCGTATCAGCGATACGTAAAGTGATAAATAAAGCATCATAATATGGGAAAGACAAACCGTCGGCATCAGACTTATCGAAGGTGATACTATCTTCGAAGTCGTCATACCGTTCATGGGCGATGGTCCGCTTTAGTGTGTGTGTGGTGGTGAGCTTGACGTGATTGATCACTGACTCGTCGCCGCCTCCGACGATCATGTTTATCGTGCGCGCTGGAGAAGGTGGTTTCGGCGGCCCGTGGGGTTGTTCCCGTCCGCGTGCAAAGTTGATTTTCCCTTTGTCACTGAGTAACTCCCTCAGGTATCCCTGGTTCAGCATCCTGACCACCTCTTGCCGTAGGCCTATGCAGTCTTCGGTTTTGTGTCCTCGTTCCTGATGGAACTCACATAGGGCGTTTGATTTCCTTGTGGCAGGGTCTAATTTCATCTTCTGCGGCCAATGCACCTTGGTGCCCAGCTTCTCCAGTGCGTACACTATTTCTGAAGGAGATACACAAAAGTTATGGGCAGTTAATAAAGGGGGCGTACCTCTTTCATTTCGGAGTGGGGCGACGTGTCGCTGTAGCGCGTCTGTATGCCTTGGTGGCGGATGGGAGGATCTGGTGTATGGCTGATGTCGATTAGTCCCTCCGCTTATTGAGGTCGGGTCTTGGCCGAGCTCGATAAGCGGATTCCATTGGCTGTATTTCGAGAAACGCGGATGGAGATGTCGACTGTTGCTTCGGTCGAAGCCGAATTCTTTTTGGCGATGGCCCTTAGCCTTGTAGAGCATTAGTATCCTGTTATTGGGCTATCGAGTCATCGTTCGATCGAGGTCGAACTCTCCTTCTGGGCGAAGGCACCCTTTTAACTTACTTCGAGTGAGGTCGAGCTGCATTGTGCTCGGATCCCTACGTTTGTTTTGGAAGCATACCCGTCGGCCGTGGCGGACGGGTCGTATGTTGTGCAGCCGAGGAGTATGAAGGCACGCTTGATACGTGCTCGGCGGCGGCCTTAGCCGTTTACACGTTGGAGATGGCCGTAGCGAATGAGTATGCGCCGGGTACGTATTTCCAGAATTTTGAAGGCGTACGACACATTCTTTCAATGTTCGCAGGTCGTAGCGATTATTCTGACGGCGGTACGTTTGGCGGATGGCTGTGAAGTCGCTTTGCGGAACTTGTCATAATGACGCTTGCTTCGGCAGAACCGAACCGTTTTACGGTTGGTCGTGCGGTTAATGATGGCTATTGGGTTTCACGAAAGCCATTTATGTTGCCTATAAAGGTGGGTTGAGGCATTCATTTCTCATATCTTCATTCTTCATCTGAGAGAGATTCTGAGGAAACTTTTTCATTCCGCAAATTCATCTTCTCCTTTCTTTCCTTTGATTGTGATAACCTTTGTCTTTAGTAGATCAACAATGACAGGCAGTTCTTCCCACGATGCTCTTCCGATAGACATTCCGGTAGTTGAAGGGCCACCTCCGGCAATGGAAGGTGCAGAACAGATAGAGACCGGAGAAGTTCCGTCGGTTGACGAGGTAGTTCCTCGGCCCGGAGGTCCGGCGATTGATTTCACTGTCGACGGTGGAGTGGAACCGGTGGATGAAGCCCCGTTAATGGGGGAGATTGGGATGGCCCGATTACGGGAACAGGGGGTCATTCCCACCCATGCAGACATCATTCTTGCTAGAAGCGAGGAGAGGGTCCACACCGACCGCAGGGGATACTGCATTTTTTACTCCTATCCTTTCAGGTTGGGGTTCAAGATCCCGCTCCCAATGCTGGTGGTGGATTTTTGCCGTTATTACGGGGTGTGCCCGGGTCAGCTCACTCTTTCCCTCTACAAATTGTTGGCAATGTTCATCAAGTACGCGGAATTGGCCCGTAGGGAGGTCACGCTGCAGCGTGTGCTGAGTCTCTGCGCTCCCCAGAGAGTCCGTGGCACCATGATTCAGGCGTGCCCTCGTGGGTCGAGGGGCCTGGTCATGAGATTGGATGACGAGGTTGACCCTCGCCCTTTCGAGCACTTCTTTTACATCAGGACCAAGCATCTGGTGGCA